GGGGCCTGGTGTGCTGTCATTTTCAAGAAAAATGGGATTTTTCCAATGCTGGTCGGCTGACCAGCATTGGAGAAAACTGGCTTTTTTCAAAAAAATGCTCCTAATTTTTCATAATTAGTTATTCCGCGTTTTCATTGCAATTGATTACACACAGTCTGTGAAGGGGTACAAGCCTGCTAGACTGCATTCTTGGACCTTACAATTCCCCAAAGTCTGCAAATTGCTCCGTTTCATCTTAAGTGGGGTCAGGGAACCAGACTAAAAGAACATGATAGGTTTTCTTGGTTTTTCCTGCATCTACAAGTCCAAAACGTGAAACAAGTCATTTTAACAATATTTGCTATAACATACCCGGTACTAATCCTCCAAATCCATTTATTTCCAAAAATTGCCTCAAAAGTAAATTTTGTACATTCCCTTTAAGCAAATAAAAAAAATTATTATTAATTAAACCTTCTTAAAGGGAATATACAACATTTGCAAACATCGAAAAATAAAACTACCAAGTTTTTACGAAATACCTTACTAGGATGTTGGTAAATGATAGTCTCAAGCATTTTGTAAAATTATGGCACCTGGTGTGAAGTCATTTTCAAGAAAATGGTATTTTTGTATACATTTCCAACGGTGGTCGGCCGACCAGCGTTGGAAAAACCTAACTATTTTTGAACTACTGCTCCAAATTAACCATTTTTTCAGTCCAAATTTTGTTTGCTATTGGTTACATGTTTCATGAACGGGTGCAGGCCAGCTAGACTGGTTCCCGTGCCCTACAATTTTCCATCATCTATAAATTGATCCATTTTATCTTTTGTGGAGTCGGGGAACCAGACTACTTAAACATTTTTGTTTTTCTTGGTTTTTCCAACCTTTTCGAACACAAAACTTCAAAAATGTCAGTGTAACAATATTTGATCTATATATATACTAACCCCTCAAATAGTTCATTTCTGAAAATTACATCAAAAACCAATGATGTACATTCCCTTTAATATAATATCAACTAAAGAATAATAAAAAAATAAAATGTATTTTTTTTTTATATAAAATAATTTTAAGTGATGTACATGTATGTATACATTGTAGGCTAAACCTTTGACGGTCATTTTTTAAAACTTTATATTTCACATTGTTTCAACATCACCTACATACCCTTGTAATTTGTTAATGAATTTAATTTTTTTATTATTATTAATTTTATTTACATTGTACTTCTTAGAAATATATTCCATTTAATAATTCATCTGATCATATTTTACTAGCAGTGGAAACAAATAAAGTGGGCGTTTTTACCCCATGGACGTTTTTACCCCAGTTTACCCTATTGGATGCACAATCATTTGCTGCGCTGCTATCATTGACGAGCTATTACCGGTATCACAACAATGTGTTGGGAATCTTGTAAAATCCCCCCTGAAAAGTGGGGGAAATTAGTATACAAATTTGCTTCTGTAGACAAATACGGTCCATTTTTGGTAGCAAGCATACTACATTGAAAGAGTTGCCATGAAGATGCACAAAACTCTGGTAGCATTTTGTACATATATACACTTTCAAGTGCGTATGCTACTGGCTGAAATTTGGCAGTTTGGTTCAGAGTTCCCATAGACAGGGATGTGTTATAGATGAAAACTGACATGATGTCAAGATGACGTCACTGTATGATTTTATATAGATTTTTGAAGTTTTCTATATTATCGCCATATCTCATGAACACATTGTGCGAAATTCAAAATTCCTTTTGTGATAGGTTTGTTAGCTTATAGATATTTGCACGAAAAATTTTACAAATTTGTGACGTCATGATCATGTCAACAACTGACATTTGGTACCAGCAAAATTTTACATAACATGCACTTTGAACTTTGTTCGTATGTTGAATTGATCATTTACATGACTGCACATCGACAAAAAGTATAAACTCCTGTAAACATTAATACGGAAAAGCCATGTATATTCTGTTCCTAAACAGACATAGAACTAGTTTTGTTTTGAATATGTTCGAATACTACAGATATGATTAATATTCAATACACATAAATGGGCAATTTCAGCATGATGACAGAGCCAATTAAATAACCATGATATCTTATTAATGATTCAGAGAAATGATCCAAAACTCCTAGTCTGTAATCTCCTTGACCATTACCAGATGATGGATGTTTGAAAAAGAGCAATTTCACGGATTTATCAACCTCAATGTTAAAACTTCAAAAAATCCAAAAGCCACAAATGAAACATGTTTATCATTTTGAAACTTATTATCTGTATTTCACTGAAATATAGTTTATTTCTAGCAATGTTCAATAGTTCAGCTGTTAATTACGTTTAACTGAAAAATAAACTAACAGACTCATAAAAAAAATCTATTTGTCTGAGTACGTCCAACACCATGGTGTTTCGAGCCCATTTCTACTACATGTACATGTATGTACATGTTCATCAAAAATGATTTTTAGTTTTTAATCATTGTAGTAACTAAATGATATATTTTATCATAATTAAACTCCACTATATGATTTATAACATTGTCCAAAATGTACAAACGTCAGACACCGTGCCCAAAATACATGTCAGGTTAATTCACTGATTTCTTAATGTCTGTTACAGACATTGCATCATCATCATCATCATCATCATGCTGGAATTGCCCAAATGTACAAACAAAGCACATTCTTTGCTCAAGTATGTATACATGTACATACCTCTGCATAATAGCAAACTGTACAATTCAATTTTATATTGAAGTAGAAGCCACTGTATTCACAAAATGTACGTATGTATGTACATGTACATGTATAAGTACCGATATGTACGCGTACATGTACATATGTACCAGTATATGTACCGTAGTTGCATGAGCACTGAGTGAGGTACTGTAATCAAATTTTCTAGTGCCCTGGAAAGAGCCCATTCAAGTTATTAATGCTTGCTGGTGATTGACAGGTACATGTACGTGTAGATAACATATTAAATGGTTTCATTCAATCATGGTTATGCGTGCATGTCATGCATTGCCAATTCTTTCACTGCCAAACCTAAACCAAATCACCATTTTAAATTTCCAAATGAAACTGGAACCCAGACTTGAGGATTGGCTTGCAAGCTTTAGAGTTTCATAGTTGGCTTGATGACTGGCTGATAAGAGATTGCCTAGCCATTACTGGCCATATTCTATCTCCGTCGGTAAGGTTTCTAGACTGTCAACTATAGATGCAGTATGGATAGAGTGACAAGCGTTAATGTGGAGTGTAGGTTATCAGAGTACAAGCAGCTGCTGAATGACACAGGGAAACAACAGGGAGAACATGTATACATGTACATGTATATGTACATGTACAATATTGTAATCTTATCAGCGGCCAGTTTGGTCTCAAAATTCTCTTGTTCCCCCTCCCCCAAGTTTTAAAAATTGCTGCATTAAAATTTACATAAGAGACTTACATGAAATAACTAATGGCTCATAATTAGTCATGGATATTTTGCACATCTTGTGGATTTTTTTCTTACAATGACTAGTGCCAAATAAAATGCATGTTGAAAAAATATACCATGTACATGTACATGTACATGCACAGAACATGCACCTGTACTGTACCGGTACACGTACATTGTACATACATGTACACTGTTCATGCTCATGCATACATTTTGAAAGGAATAAGAATGTTATTCCTCAATGATTTTGAAACTGTCAGTCGCAAGAATTTTCACAGTCTTGTGTCTGCATTTAGGGCTATACACACCGGTACTTGGCGTACATGTACTGCACATTGCTACACGGGCCTATAGCATATGGTACATATGTAATTTACTACAATCCACTTCATCGAGAAGTAGATACTTAATATGTGCATGGCACTTGTTGGAGGCACGGTCGTTTCACCACTTGTAGCTTGCAGTTCTAGCTGTGTAATTACATACGTACGTACCGTACATGTACCTTTTATGTTCCATTGTTTTGTCTCCCTTACACCTGTACCTACGTGAAATTTCAAGATTATTTACAGCAAAACACATGCAGTCAGTCATAACTGTTGGCCTGGCCATACAGTGTGCAAGTACATTTACGATGTAGATGTATATTCTTGTATTCTCCCATTCACTGTCACAAGTTGAATGAGGAATAAGTGAATCAAAAACAAATTAAAGTGTTCTTTGCTGACACTGTGCTTGAAATATTTGCCAGACGGTGGAAGTGTTTAATTTTAATCTTTAAAGACATACATGTAGTCCATCATTAGTAATTTGTGCATTTTGTTCGTTTGAAGCAACAAAAGTGTTCAAAATCTAATGAAGGATACTGAACAACTAACCTGATGAAGTTTCAGCTCAGCTTGAGCTGTATATTCCGAGAAAAACAGCATTCTAGGATCTCAATTTCAAATCAAAAGTTGCTGAATCATGTTTTGAATTGTTTTGAATTGCAGCTTTACGCGATGTCGCGCACGGATCCGACGAATTATAGCAACCGTGTGCACATGTGCGTCGTGCCAATGCTTGCGCGCGCTGCGCCGAATAACAAAACGAACTACTAATTTAAATTTTCCTACAGTGCTTCTTAAGACGCACCGTTGGAAATGCCTTCTTTCGTTGATTTCTTCAAAATGAGAGTTTGCCAGAAAGAATAATTTCACAGGAAGTTTAGTCCCCTAACTATCTTTCAACCAAGTATGTTTTTCAACAATAATTACGCCAGTTACTTTTTTGGATAGCTGCAAATGATGGACTCCGGCTTAAATTGTATGTTGCTTCCAACTTCTTGCAAACTCCCACCAATGTGTATAACTGGGTGAGTTGATGAGCTCATCCAGTACATGGTTTTGTGACCAGTATGTTGGCAACTTGGCTAAGTTTTGTGAATCAGTGGTAAGAATATGGTTCAGCTCAGCAATAAATGTGTTACCGGTACATTTTAACTGTGCATGAAGTACATGGACGTATGAAACTTACACACTGGAACTGATGATAGATTTTTTTCTCTTTATGATTTATTGCAGGATCCTCGATTCAATTGTGAAATTGACCTGCAAACAGGGTACAAAACCAGAAGTATGCTGTCTATGCCCATCAAAGCCCCGTCAGGGGAAGTGATAGGTGTGGCGCAGGTCATTAACAAGATTGGCAGTAAAGACAGACACGAAGCCTTCACTGATAGTGATGAAAAGGTAGGTCAATTGTCTAGCTTTGAGTAAAACAAAGTGACACCAATCCTGGATGAAATGAAATTCTAGTCGTTCCCTGGATCACTGAGGAGGTTCTTTCATAAGTCAATTGAGCCAGATATTTCTAACAATGTCCATTTCTATTGGTTCATGTGTTGGCTGCAAAGTGTGAAACAAATTATTGTATCTATTTATAGTAGAACGTACTGCATTATTTTCAGATGTGCTCACTTCATTACATCATCAAGGTATCTTGAATTTCTTCTGTCATAACCTGGATAATCCAATAAAATATTGAAATATCCAAATTTGATAATGTTAACATAAAATCCAAGTTTCTGATGAAATTGCTATTGGAATTTAACTGAGAGTTAGACACAACCATGAAGGTGCTTGTAATCATGCACAGTTTGAGAATGAACTTGAACAAAGCCAGGTGCCAAATTGTACAGGTACAGGTATGTAAACCTTTGCATCACAAAGCTAAGAAATCATTCCGAGTTATAATATTGAACCAGAACATTTTTTCACATGTGAATGATATCTTTTTTGAGTTGTATGGTTCTAAGAAGGATCAGTTGGTTTAACTCAATGTTTGGAACAGTGTGCTCTGTGTGTCATCAGGAGACACAATATGAGGAAACTTTCAAGTCTCCTGATGACGAGAAGAGCATACTGTTTAAAATGTCGAGATAAACCAATTGGATCTTCTCAGAACCACACAACTCAAAAGAGATATCATTCACGTGGTGTTACCGCAAACCTCCCATTCACTGTGTAATGTGTGAAAATTGTACAAGTGCAACCGCTTTAAGTGGACATGGCAGAAAAGTGGAATATTTGTGAAATCTTCAGAACTACAACCAAATTAAAGGGGCCAATGAGACCTTTCAATTGAGTGGTGTGTCAGTGAGATTAAATTTTTTTTTTTTTTTTTAATGGGGGGGGGGTTTAAACAGAAATTGGGGCTTGGGGGGGGGGCTAAAATTATTAATTTTAGGTTCAATTATTACTTAGTTTCTTGGGCAGACAAACTATAATGGGATTAACCTTAATGTGAGTTACTGGGCATTCCTGTTTGTCTATACATGTACCTGAATTTGGTCTACCATTTTTATTGTCCACATTTCATACTTTTGTATAGTAGGTATGCGGTACCGTATCACATAAAAATGACTATTGCAGATTCACTCTGAGTATTGCTTTTAATTTCTGGCATGTCCTTTTTTTGTGCAATGCAAGAAACCACATTTCCAAAGAGTGCCGTTCTCATATGAGGGATTAGGTACCTGTTCAAAGTAGTTTTTTAGGTCATAAGGGAAAAGCCTTGAATGCTTGTGTTGTTTTTGCAACAACAAAAAAGGAAACAGATAGTCCGACTAGTATGAAGACCACAGCACTCGGATTAAAAGGACACACAAAAATTTAAGTTACCGTGGAATTGCCCAGAAAGGTATTATGTAGCTTACTAATGTATTCCTATTAACGCATTCTTACTAGCTTGAAACAATTTCTTGATATTTAGAGGGCCCAACATAGGATTTTTCAGTTGAAAGAATCTGCCAGGATCAAAACCTCAGGCTCGCTAACTTATTCAGTCTATCCAGTCAGTAACCCTCCTAAACCTATGCAGACATGCAATTTGTGCCAAGTTATCCTTTATGTAGTCAAAATCAAGCAAGAGACTGTTTTCAACGGTTAAGAGCTCTTAGCCTACCGGTACATAAAGCAGGATTGACTGGCTGTGACTGTTTATGTAACTTGATAAAGCTATGCTTTGACTGTACACGTACCAGTACATTTAGGTGATTGATAAGCCAGCTGTGCCTGCCACTTGTGTGCTTTTGTCTCTTGACTGAATTTGACTAGTCACAGTGCTTGCTGAAAATATGATCTGACTGTTGGTGACTAGCCTGTGTACAAGGCATGGCAGGGGAAGAAGATTGATTTTTTGACTGTCTGTGACTGTTCAGATAGCAGGAGGTATTCATTTTTGTAGATGTTTGAGATGCGAGTAAAAATGGGTTGAACAGAACTACATTATGTACATGTACATGTACATTGTACCTACCGGTATGACTATGAGAATGACTGTTGTGCACATGCATGTATTTCGTTGGATGTAGATGATGAATTGATCCACAAATGTGTTTACACCTAAATATTGCCTGATCACTTGATCAGTCAGGAATCAGATCGTGCCCAAAAGGGGTATCAACATGCAGGATTAGCCTTGGATTGTATCCTTATTGTGCTTGTGTTGACTCTAACTGTTCACTGCTCTGACAATCCCCTTGAGGGATCCAATGTAAACATGAAGTTTCAAGCAGTGTACATGTACAGTACCAAGACATTTGCAATTGATTAACTACAAAATGTATAATGTTATAGTTCAATATTCAATACTGACTTTCATGTATTTGTGTTTCCCTCCTTTTTTATTTCACTTGATGAATACAGGTATTTGCTCAGTATCTCCAGTTTTGTGGAATTGGCATCAATAACGCAAGGATTTATGAACGGGCAACTATGGAAATAAGGCGAAATCAGGTGGGCCATTGATTCAGGATGTAATGTAAAAATCAACTTGGAACCAAAAGTCCCCTTTATTTCATGTTCATTTACATGTAATTACGATGACAATAGATCATTTACATGTAATGCATATTAAAGAGCCAATGTATAATGTGCAAATCATAACAGAATATCAGAGAGGTTAAGTTACAAGTTTTTTGCAAGAAAGTGTACGCCTACCGGTACATGTAGGTGTTGCATCATGGTTACGCGTGCAAAATATGCATTGGCAAAGCACATGTGCAAATCCTGGCTTGTCGTACGCAATGCCAAACACATGATTTGGTCATTCCTTGTAATGTGAAGGAAGGGAAGTAAAAACCACCTCATTTCTCACACATGCAAAATTGTTAAAGATTGATTTAAAGAATTTTTATCAGAGTTCACATTAACTACTGTCATAATCAATAGACTTGAGAAGATTGTCTCCTTAAACAGAAGTATTTGTCAACATTTTTTTAAAGGTTCGCATACACAGATTCTATGAAATGCCTTCCTAAATCCTTTCCGAGTACGTGATTGGGAACGCAAGGCTTTCAGTACGTGTTGCCGTACACGTTTAGGCAAACTAAACCCCTCTATTAACGGTCGATTTTTTCAAATTAGTTTGAAGAACGTTATGCAGGGTTTAAGTCTGTGACTCACACCATAAATGATGGCGGAACACAAATCATAATAGCATATATTTACTTTATAAGACTAAAGGTTGATAATCAAGGATATTATCATTGCTCATGCATGTATACTCAGCTTTGTTTTGAAGGAAATCAAAGAGTTTGCCCCCAGTTCCAGGGCACTGGAATGTACATACATTAGTTTTACAAGGCAAGCAGAGCTCATTCAACATCTAGGCCCAATTTCTATTGAGATTTGTGTTGTAACGTCACTGATTTGAGCAACTGTTTCCTCTGGGGTTAAACGTGCTTTCACGGTGCTTACTGCTTACGGTCTCTATGAAATAGAGGGAGGCTCTGTTAGCATAAAATCGGCTATATGTTAAGCAGCTCTATGGAATTGGGCCCTGTTTAGCGAGTGTCACAATATTGAAACCAAACAGAAAACCAAAATAGTCGTAAACCCTGTGATTATCCTCATCCAACATGATAACAATATTTGAAATACTGCACAGCTGTGCCAAATGATAGCATAAGAATTTGACAGCTGTGCAACCAATTGATTGTATAAATCCAACATATGCATGTTGTTATTACCAATCGTGTTGTGAAATTGGCAATTGTAGCATATTTCAATTTTAAGTACATGTACATGTACGGTATGTACAAACTTGTACGTTTGCATGGACCTCACCTCACACACTCTAAAATTCCAACTGATTATACAGGCATTTAACCTTATTAGGATCATGACAATCCATATAACTTCAGCTTCAGATCACTTACATGTACATAGCTCACCGGTAATCGTTTAACTCTTTGAACCGAAAAGAAATTGACCAAAAATCTTGAAATATGTCTGATATTAGTTGAATACCGATAGATATTGTTGGATGTTTCTGTCTTTATCTGTACAAAAGGTACTGCTGGAGTTGGCCAAGGTTCTCTTTGAGGAGCAAAGCACGCTATCCAACATTGTGCGGCGCATCATGGAGTTGACTGTATCTCTATTGCGTTGTGAACGGTGTTCGATCCTATTAGTCGATGAGACATCTAAGGTTAGTTGATACCATGTGGATATTCAAAGCAAATACACACAAGTGATTTTAATGCCCTGAGGTATTGCAATGGTCAGTCTTGAATACCGATGGGATTATATAGTAATGTACCTGAATTTGTATGATGACAATTGAGGTCCATGCATCATATGTTGAGCAGTTTATGCAGTGAAGCAAGGCAGACTGCTACCATAGATAAACCCTAGTGCCTGCATTGCATAGATGCAGTAGAGAGATGCAGCCATGCTGTGCGTGACTTAGCATGCATAGGGAGATAGCAAAGCAATTTCCAGTGCATTATAATGATACGGCCAATGACAGTGCAAGCTACGCATACACATGGTAGATCATGAATATTTATATGGTTGGTATTTGGAGAAAAACAAAATTCACATCTGTAAAGGGTGAATATATATAGGCCAGATTGTTTGTTGCTTCTGCTTTTTTATTATTATTATTAATTTTATAATTGCTTTAACTTGTTTGGTTTTGTTTTCTGTTTCTATTGGTTGATTTTTGCAAGTATAATTGTTTAACTCTGCATTATGTTTTATTTCATTTGATTGGTTTGTATGTTCTGTGTTATTTTCAGAGGAATTCAGGTCACAATTTGTTCTAGATCTCAATACTGCTTGAAGTCTCAAATGATTACATTATTTTCATGGCGATGAAAGCAAGAAATCCAATTATTCAAAGAAGGAATGTGATTGCGATTTGATTGCGCATTGCTTTATCTTGACCATGTAGCATTGTTCAGTACAGTAATCATGTACAGTACATGTACCGGTATGTAAGATTTTCTGAGTGATCTCTTTTGAATATTTAAAATATAAACAAAATCATGACATAGTGAACTGTCATTCTTCTTAACATGTTGACTTTGTAAGTTCATTTAATTTATTACAACCTCTGTAATTGCCTCAAGGCACTACCCCGGTACATGCGCAATGAAATGAGTTTACCATCGGTATACTGTACATGTACGTACATGATATTCTCATTATACCGTAATTATGTGATTTGAATGGAACTTAATCCAGATTTTATCGTTGAATCGCTTATCGTATGAAATTAGGTACACATTTTCTGGAAAAACTGCCCAGCATGTACTGTATGTTATTATGTGACCATAACTCTTAAAAGTTGCATTACCAATAATCCTTCTTTCTTTTCTATAGTTAAACGTGAATGCAAAATTAAGTTTATCTATTTTGCACTGTACATGTAACAGTTTGATAATCTCCATACTGACATAATTTGTTTGCTCATATTTACAGAGAAGGAAAAATAAGCGCCAGCCAAGCAAAGACACGGTACATATACTAACTTGTCTTTTAACCAACTACCCCTCATCGTATCATGCTTGCTGCCTCACACACATGAAGTCACACTGCATGTTTGTATTGGTTTCATCTTGTCTCACTGCCAAATTTGTTGTGTTTGCACTGTCTTGTTGGGGGATGCATGGAAACAATGAAAGAATTGATCAAATTACCTGGCAGAATCTCCATTCAGTCTGGAATCAACTGTGCAAGACCATTTGCTTTCATATTCAGCTACATGTACAGGGTGTACATGTGCTGCTGCTGCATTGCATTATGCTAGACCTTGGTAATTAAAATCATAGTTCTGGATAGAAATTCTTTTTTTCTTTTTTTTTCAAATTTTCAGTACAAAAGCTTGCTCTTTAGAGATCCATGCAAAATTGTCTGTTTTCATTCTAAATATCTTTTCTATGCATGATTTTACAGTGTTCACCGGTTTCATTATCTTCTTATTACATATAGCTCTTTGGTAATTTTTTGATGGAAAAGGGTCCATTCTATGTACATGCATGGACATGTGCATAGACATTTGCTGACACTTAAAGGCAATATACAACATTCGCAAACATCAAAAAACAAAACTACCAAATTATTATGAAATACCTTACTTGACTGTAAGTGAATAATAGTCTCAAGCATTCTGTGGTATCATGGCACCTGGTGTGCTTTCCTTTTCTGGAAAAGTGGATTTTTGTATCAATTTCCAACGATCGTTGAAAAAACTGACTTTATTCAAGTACTGCCCCCAATTTACCAAATTTAGTTAGTCCGCATTTTGTTTGCCAATGGTTACATATCCTTGATCGGATGCAAGCCATGCGCTACTGTCTGGTTCCCTGACCTGACAATTCCCTGACATCTATAAATTGTCCCGTTTCGTCTGAAGTAGGGTCACAAAACTTTAAACAGGTCAGTGTACCATATTTGCCACAAAATACTAACCCCCAAATCCATCCATTTCTGAAAATTACAGCAAAAGCAAATGTTGTATATTACCTTTAAAACCAGTCTCAATTTGCACATGTACATGTACGTATGTAAACCTAGAGTGAAATATTGCACAGGCTTGCTCAGCATGCAGGATGTTATTGAGATGTAGTGTGTTTCCTGTCAAATGGACAAAAACTTCTTTACTTTATAATTGTTGAATTTGAAAAACAAATGACACAATTCTCCATAAAAGTGGTTTAGAAATCAACATTTAATTTTGGACAACATAACTGTCTGATCACAAACTCATATTTTATTCTAATATGGTTGAGTCTTAGCCTGTTATACCAGTGCAAATGTAATTTGCTAATTATATTATCAAAGAATAATGACAGGAAATAGTATCTCTTTCGTTTCAAGGGAAAGACTGTTAATGTTCATATATTAGTGGATCAATTCTGAAAGTTATATGTGTCAGTTATGAAACAGGAGTAAGGCAATTTGTATGTGAAATAAAACACCTGTCATCTTTCTCTTTTCTCTATCTTACACAACATCTACATGTATGTCATATCTTTCAGTGGCATACCCAGGATTTGGCTTTGGGGGGCTCACAATTTTTAATTTTTTTTTTTTTTTTTTTTTTGGGGGGGGGGGGGGGATTATTTTGATGTTGGTGGCGCCACTTACACCCCATTACCTATTATGCTACTCGAAAATAGAACACATACATATCAACAAGGTCAAATCGTGGGACTGAAAAAAAATTTTTAAACCTCTTGGGGCCCCCCCCCCCCTTGGGTGCGCCACTGATATGTTTCAAATAGTTCTGGTGTTGCCAAAAACACAAGAAATTTAGATAAACATACATTCTTAATTCTTCAAGTTACTGCATTATATTACTTATTTTTTTCTTTTGTTTCAACAGTGTTTTATTAATGTAGTTTTTTGGTTTTCAAATTACAAGTGAACGACACTTTATGTGTGATTCTTGTATGTTCTCTAACATTCTGAAATATGCCGGTCCTAAAGTAGCATGAATCTTTGTACACTCATATTTACTTTGTCATCAAACTCCATTTCATTCCTTTCTTTCACACATACCACTGATCTCATTTCATTGACACCGAACATACTGGTACATCATAGTTACTTGTTTTTCACACTGTATACCCTTTTCGCAGATCATATTTTCAGTTTTTTTTAAGTTTGAAGAGCCAATTACATTTGTGGTGCATGTAATGTCTTGTATTTACTTGTTCAGGTCTTAAGGGGAAAAAATGAGAGAACAAAATAATGGAAAAAAAATGATGTTTTTATAACAGTGTTGGACAAAGCCTGTTTGTTTTGGCTATCACATGATTTGTGGTAAAACATGAAGAAGAAAAAAATTCCTAGACCATCCGAGTTGTCATTTAGCATGTACATACATATGTACATGTAGTGCTGTGAATCTTTCATAAAGTTACGTGTGCGAAATATTTTCAAACAACAATGACTCAAACTGAAACTGTTACTCTAACTTGTTGAAAAACCAAATTGCATTTGGCCTTCAAACGTGGTACAGGAAAGCACATGAATGAATGTTAATATGTGAATCTTGTACCTCATCATTGACCATCTGTATTGGTATGAACATGTACTGATGAATTTGTGGTATTTTCATGTTCATACAGAGCATCTTCTCACAAGTGTTTGAGTTGGGCGTGGATGATCTAGAGAACAAGGGTCCCAACAATGGAAGCAGGTGAGTACGTAACGCTACAATGTATCTGTTCAGTGTCAGAATGTTTTTGCCTCACACCCCCAAAATAAATTATAGAAACTCTTACTATGTTGACGCTTTAGTAAAGTCGCTCAGGTCAGATTGTGATGAATGACGTTAGCATTGTACATGTATTATTTTTCTTTTTGACCCACAAATTGGTGTTGCTGGTCTCTCTAGATCTGCTGGTCCTAAATACATGTACATTACGTGTACATGTACCGTACATGTAGATGTATGACAAAGTTACACAGGTTTCAGACCGGCATTCCAGATTCGTGCCAAACCAAATTGAATTAAGAGCAACTTGAGTCAACCCCAATTGCGTTTGGTTTCAGACTGACAAATGCGCTTTGCATGGGAGCTACACCTTTCACATTGCATGGTTTTGTTTTTTGTTCAGCGTAAATACGTTTCTTCGCGCCATTCCTTGAGATTTGTTTTTCGACTTTGTTTTTCAGTGTTTAAATTAGTTCTGTGAAGAAGCAGCAAAAGATTGGCCAGCAACATGAAAGTCGGCAAACATAGCTGATAAAACCTTGAATTATGGCTTAAAGAAGGAAAAGGACAATAAAAACGGGCTACTAAGGGCTTGTGAAGAGATAGCACATTATTAATGCATGGGCAATTCCAGGGGAAGTGTAATGTCCGTGACGGAGCCAGTTAACCATGATGCCTTATCAATGATTCAGAGAAATGATCCAAAACTCTTAGTCTGTAATCTCCATTACCATTATTACATGACGGATGTGATCATGTGTAAGATTTGAAAAATACATTGTCACATTTACTCACTGGCTATTAGAAGCTGTGTCTCGGACATTACATAACGCTGGAATTGCCCACATGCATCATGGCCATTTTCTTGCTGCTCACATCACCTACATGTATGGAGTTTTCACCCATCAAGTCCATGCTTTATAGAGAAAACAGTACCGGTACATGTAGGCTACGTAAGACAGGGTGAGTCAAAAAGAAAGTGACCGAATTTGAAAAATATTTCCAAAATATGTGACTTGGGAGACATAAAGTACATCTTATTGACTTGTAACTGTGAAAAATTCACGTAGTTTGCATAATTTATTCCCAAGTTGTGTCTATTTCAATAAAACGACCACAAAACTCGGCTGTCCACCACTGATCATTTACCCTTCTACGAAATGATGAATACCCATTGAATACAATGAAACATGGCTATTTTCCCACCTCGATGAATGAACGAGAACTTGCAAAGGAAAACGTACACAAATCACCATCAATATGTCAGAATAAAGGGTGGACTTGTTCCTCTTATTCAAAACACAAAATCTGACAGTAAAAATAATGTTTCAGTCTTCATTAAAATAATTAAAATCTCATTTGTATTGGACTGCTTGTGTGTTGTCTGTAATTCTATCTCAACTCAATACCTAATCCAATTTGGCATTCCACGGACAGCTATAAAATGGTAAAACGTGCTTAACTTCTGATAGCATAGATCAATTTCAGTAATTCTTTTTTTTGAGATGAGGGGAAGAACATGCTCTTTTAAGATACAGGTGTATACTTGGTGTTTCAAATTTGATTGCTTTTTAAGGAAAAAAATCATGAATTCAGGTGACTTTCTTTTTGGCTCACCCTGTATAACTACTATCATTGCACCTTCCGTCAAACAGTACCTGCGCGGGAGCTGCAAAGGTCTGTTGCCATGTGATGTGTGATGGCCAAAGGTCAAACTTTCTAATTACCGTACATGTACATGTACATGTACATAAATCTGCATAATTGAGTTCTGCTCAGAATGAGAGCAACATCTCAAACCAAAGGGCTGTAGAGTCCTTCCGACTGTCTGCAACAGTTGATCTTTCAAAGTCTTGCGGGTATTGAACTTTAACTTTTTCAGTTAGTTTATTCAAATCTCAGAAATAATTTGGTTTGGCGTGATTCTAGAACTACAGTCTGAAACAGGAATAAGAACTCCAATCATCATCAATAAATTGTATTGTACTTCAACTTGTGTATGCCATTATTTTAATTCTCGAACTCATGCTGCCTGTCAATCCTATCTGTGTTGTGTAAATTAGACACTTGGGCTATTTGACAGGCATGCACAATCCAACAAATATTGCAGGCTTGGTAAAAGGTAATGCACTGCACTACTGAATGCCTTTCATCATCTTAATGACAAATCAAATAAAAGTGTTTTGAGATCCTCAGTTTGTCCTTTTACAGTGTGCTGTGGAATACTGAATATAGCTTTGTCTGTTTGCTTTTCAGTCCTGAGTGTTGTTTTCCAATCCACATTGGAATCACAGGGTATACAGCAACTACTGGTGAGGTGAGCTATAAGACAGGTTGCCTCAGGTATTCTCTCCTTTATACGGCAAGCTGGGCAATCAATGTTTGGAATGCGTCGGCTTCATATACACACAGGTTTTAAATGCAAATGCAATATGCACAAAGCCATACAAAAGTCAAGTAACATTTTGAGCCTTCTATTGGTTTGTGCACAAACATGGATGCGCCCAGCAGGTAATACATTAAGTTGGCTCTCTAGTAATTGAATGCATCGCTCTATGAATCTTTAATACACTGATTTGTTCACTATGCATGCATATTTACTCTCTTAATTTGTGATTGATGTGACTACAACTTGGTGAACAATAGTTAAAAACAAAAAGACATGCCTACATGCAGATGTAGGCATGGTAGGGATATGCTTCGACGCATGGTAGGGATACGCTTCGTATCCCTACCATGCGTCGCAGCGTCCTGCGATTCATTTCACAGAACGCGTCGTAAGTGCGACGCGTCGTAGGTGTATTTATTGCACAATACAGTGACTGTTTCATGTATTTATTCCGCATACAGTAAAAAGTCGTCTGATCGACAACAAAGAGTCGTCAGATATCCGCTCCAAAACTTTTTAAAACATAAAACAAAATGGCAAACTTGTAATGCAGTTTGAATGGGAAACAAGCTCGCGGTGGACTGATAGCTACTTTGGAATTTAAACTGCAATATTGCAGGCTAATTAATAATTACTTCAATGCATTTTCCTTTTGCAACTTTACACACAGTGTCTTGGTATTATAGTCTCATTTATGTAATTTGTATGGCATAAAACTGGGTAAGAAAAGGACGCTTCTTATCTCGCGATGACCATCAGTCACGCCGTGACTTGCGACCTGTTTAAAGCTGTTGTCAAGGAACTTATGACAGTTCAACACATCACAAGTTTGGTGAAATGGATCGTACAACATGTCGCGAGTTGCTACGTGTTACACGTCGTAACTCGGGTTGCGACACATCGTAGTGTTTCTTGAAATCGGGCCCTGGTACTGCACCCAATATGTTGTGAAATATACAATATATATGTGTATTCAAAACTACTTTTCGTTGTTTTATTGTTGGTTTTAAAGAGCATTTCCATTAATCATTATTTTCTCTTTTTCACAGACTTTGAACATTGCCGATGTGTACAAGGATTCTAGGTTTGATCCGAAGGTGAGCCCTTACATTTGAATCTCAGATTTAGTGAATCTAGACCAACGATTTGTATTAGACATAACTTCACTGCATCAATACATATCATTAAACACTGTGTAACCCAGCATTGCTGAGAAGGTAAAGGAACCCAGGTAAGCAGGATTCCTGTGATAACTTTACCTCTTCTGGTTTTACGGCAATGTGAATATCATTTAATATCCTGATCAAGTTTAGACATGGTTCCAGACGTTGCTGTGAGGTTGACCCAACTTTCTTGTCTCATGGTGTATATTAGCTCCATGGTATAATCAACAGCTGCTCAAAAGTCCATACCTGGCGCTTTCTAGCCTGCCCCACCAGGCCACATGTGTATAGGGCATAAAGTGAGGTACAACTGAAAGTGTAAACGTACATGTATATGATGTGTAAGCTTAGTTCACATGAATACATATTTGTCTTCAAGCAAACTTGAATCCTTAATCCTGAATAGTCATTCCATGGCAATAACATAAGTATGGGCCCCATGTTGCAAGGTGCGTATATTATTGAAAGGTGCGTATTGAGCACTTTTCTTGGATGCAAGCACTTTACTGCTGCACACACTTGTAATAGGATTGCGGTTCAAGTTTGTGGAAGATAAATTTGTAAATGAAAGTAAAATAATGAAGTGTGTCTGTGTTCCACATGCCACTGAGCCTTTTGCCTCATGGCATAGTCCACTCAAGCTCTTTGGATACAATAACACATAAATTATGCAATAATGCATATATTAAATACATGGCGCCACACACAGGTAAATCTGTGTGCAAGATGTTAGGGCCGTCACTTATACACTGACGTTAGTAAGGTCATGCATGACTGGTTCATGTTTAAGGCATTAGACCAGAGGACTATTTATCAGCATATAAGCACATCTTGAACCAAGACAAATAACAGTGATAAGATCGTTGCCTCAATCTGTGATGTAAAGTCAAAGACTAATGCATGAGTGTCTCTTTGAACTGTGGAGAAGGGTGAGCTTGTATTATATATTAATATGCATACACGTCTATGCACTGTGCGTACAGGGATGATAGCATTGTCATGCTCCATAGCAATTAATGTAATGGGTTGTGTGCCTAAAACTCGTACAGTAATATCAGTTTAGATCTCCATTCTAAATCAGAAGAAGGGCAATTCCACACCAAAGTGGACATGACACCAAAAAATTCAAATACATGTGACTTAAACAAATTTGGCATCAAATGACAGCTAAAAGTCTATATTTTCAAGATTTGAAGTCGGAATTTTATTTTTTATACATTTCAGTACCAAAAAATAGGATTATGTAATAATCCTGTTTTAATCCTAAAAATGTGATTAATAGTGATATGAAAGTATTCTACCAAAACACACACAAAAATATGTACTAATGCCATCAGTTTCTGTCATGAGAAAGTATTGGTCTTGAAAAACCGACTAAAACTTGTTTTTAACATTTTGCGTAATTTGCTTCGCTTCAGTGACTTCTAATATTTCAGCCTTCGAAAATGTCCTTCCGTTACCGAAAATATACATATTTTTTATTTATTTTTAAAACTTGCAGTATGAATGCATTGAAAGTTATTGTGCAAAGCAAGTTTAGGTAGGCCTTCAATATGACATTATAACTGACACTGCTTTTCTTCTCGTTTTTTAATTACAATTAATTAAATCACGTCCTTCCGTTACCAAATTGGTAACGGAAGGACGGTAACGGAAGGACAAATCGTATTTTTATCAAATGTTACGACATTTGCGCTCATGTTTGAAAAATGAAAATCACTGCAAATACATGCATGTACAATGAGCATTGAAAGGACATTCATGTGACCCACCTTCACAAAAGCAGGATAAGCAGGGCAAGGTGTTTATTACAAAGGAAGGCACAGGCATGTACAACATGTACAATGTATACATATATGCTGATGTACCAGTACTTGTACATGTATGGAGTTGTTGCAGAAAATCAAATCATAAAGTTGCTGCCATCAGCATTCATGGACAATAGAGAAAGATACGAATTCTGTGAAGCCATTCCAGAAGCAAATTAAGTCAAAAATGAGATGGCAGAAAGTACCGGTACTTTGGGGCACTTTCATTCAATTTACATGTGTAAGACATGTGAGGTGCAATCTTTGACAAATTATGCCCAAGTTAACAATTTCAGTTTGGATGTTTATAAATTAATTGTTACTACTCTAAATCATTGTAATTTGATTTCAAACATTGATTTTAGAGTTCAATTAAAAGCAACACCTAACTAAAGCCATCAGTACTACCGGTAGATGTTTTTACCTTAAATGTACATGTAGGCTGGTCGCCCCCCCCCCCCCTTTAGATAAACCACTGAACCGACCGGTATTATTATTAAAAGTTGTTGGTGAACATGTAACCAATATACTCAAGAGTTGAAATACTGTGTATTTAAACTTTTAAGGATTGAGGTGGTGGGTTTGAAGTCCATTTCTGTAGTTGTCTTGTGTTCGTGAATTATGTGTTTTGGGTTGTTTTCGTTTTTCTTTTGTTATCATTAATTAGCAGGCTTCTATCTTTATCTCAATAGTTTCTTGGGTATAATTATTTATGCCAGGTCTGCATATTGTTGATTTCACATTCAGTTACACATTTCAGCAATTTGTTTCACTTGTATAATTAGTGTAAATTCACATTTTGTTCATGCTGTAATTGAGTAAACCTTTTGTCCTTCCGTTACCGTCCTTCCGTTACCAAATCATAATCTGCTTAAAACGTTGTAATTATATTACCGAAACACTTAAAGTCAAATGAAAGGCGGTATAGTATAGATAAAGCTTCAGGGATTCCATTTCTTACCTTTAAAATATAATTGCCCCATAAAATTCACAGAGTTTACGCAAAACGCGAGTAAGTTGAAAAACCCTTGTCCGTTTTACCGTCCTTCCGTTACCGACCTCATTAATATTCATAATTCAAAAACGGGAGGCATTCTTTCCCCCTCAAAAGTGTGGAAAATGAAAGTAGCATTATAGCAATACAATTGTGACATTTATTTGCTGTAACTATGAACAGTGGCTGTGATACACACATTTGAAATTTTGTTTAATGAGTGAAAACGTCCTTCCGTTACCGTGGAATTGCCCAGAAGTGTCACTATTGAAGCACAATGATCATGTATCAATATATTCATTGTTATATTGTGCCTTTGATAGTGTAATTTCATTGGTTGGCTGGTCATACCAGCACATGTCTGTCCTGAAAATGGCTGTTTACTTTGTATACACTGTGTTGCATATAAATTAAGTCTTATACACTACGTTGGGCAGGCATGTAGGGCGCGTATCGGGCAGCCCCGTGCGCCAGGTGACTGAGAACTGCAACCGCTCAGTCTCATGTCTGGTAGGAAAGCTGGCAGTAATCAAAAGGTTAGGTTACTGTGCAGTCATCTCATTTATTTAATAATAATGATAATTTAAACTTTATATTGCTCTGCTTCCATTTTTTTAAATAATCAAAATTGCATTACATTGAAAAACTTTGACCAAAAAAATTGCTGTTAAAAAATGAACTTAAAAATACATCCATCTACCGGTAGTTAGCATAAAAAGAAACATAATACACAACACCAATCCAGAGCAGGTTAATGTGGCAGCCATGTTGCGTACATGCATTTAGAGTACAGTTTGGGTCAGCAGCAGATGATAAAAATCTACAGAAATACACAAATCTTCACAAAAGTCACAAATTTATATATGAGCCACATCATAACAGCAGCAGAGTAAAGCCTATGGTAGATGTCAAAAACAAACTGAGATAGAAATAGATTTAGAAATGTGACTGTATGACAAATTTTTAAAAGTGGGAGCTACATCAATAGCGCACTCTTACATAGTAAATTAAAACTTTATAAACCATTATGTTTTGACTTATTGGCATGATATACATTGTAACAGAAGATTTGTTGACTGCTGTGATGTGGGACGTGACGGTTTAACCCCCTTGGGACGCATCTACGTATATGGCGCCCTCGGCTTGCGTTGGGTGCTATGGCCATATCACACATTACCGCAGTCCGTAATTGTTAACTGGTCAATTAACTCTTTTGTGGTGATTTGAGGTGCACAGCTGGTATGTGTGCATATGATTGCATGTACAGGTTCAAATACCAATACTAATTATATCAATCAATAATACAACTTTTATGGGCATATTGGTAGTTCTATGTCATTTGCTCCTGGTGTATAGCTGATGTTTTGTTCAACTTCAGAACCTATTGAGGCTCTTTCACACTATCCAAAATCTCTGTGTTTGACCCAAGTCAGACCCAAGATTTGTGCAACCACTTTCACACTAGCAAGAAACCAACATGGCTCCTACGTGGGTCTGGTGCTTGGTCAGTGTGAACTGTATGCATTGTCAAGTCATGCTGGATCAGATTTGGTTCAGCTAACGGTGGACCCAATGTTGATATCCACACGGGTTTACATGGTAGGGTGGAAAGCCTTTTTTGTGTTGGTGAATAGGCTACATATCTTCAACAGGAAGCTGATATGATTTTACAAATGTATAGTGAAAATTGCTGGCTAGGGCTGAGTCTGATGGAGTATTCAAATTTCCATTTAGTTGAATTTTGCAATGCTTTATTCTTGGCACTGTGCCAACTACTGGTATTGGCATCAGCATTACTACAATGTCTCTTGTCTGGCAAAGTAATGCATCACATGCATAACAACTACGTGCATGAAAGTGGGGGGGGGGGGGGGTGTTGGCTGGCTAGTTTTAACAAAACACACAATGAATGCCACAAGGAGAGAGAAGCATGTCATACTGTAGTGAATGACTATGGAAAGTACAGGTATAATCAATCACGTTTAAAAACCAGGTTGCCACTGCAAACATGTACCGGTACGTGTATGTTACAAAATAAATCCTGACGTTCAATTACTCCAGATATCACTGCATGTCACCCCACATAGAGTATTGTTAGACACAGTAGGACCACTGTGCACAATTAACCTATCGCGGTAGAATTGCGTGAATGCAGCTTGTGAAATATTGTCCAATTACATGAGATACAAAATGGATGCGGAATGCGCAAAATCTGAGACAAACAAAACTTAGTGTACAAAATTCCATAGGGTTGTCTAAGGGGTGTGGCTAACTCGCAAACGGCGATAGGTCAATTGGGAGGGACCACTGCAGTGTTGTAGTACTCGTACTCGGTACTCGTACTCGTACTTGAGTACTTTTTTTGGAGTACTCGTACTCGAATGTCAAAGTACTCGTACTCGAAATGACGGTACTCGTACTCGGGCAGCAACGTACTCGTACTCGACATGTCGAAATTGTACTCGATCATTAAAGTACTCGTACTCGATTAGCAGTACTCGGGGGGAAAAAAAATGTTGTAGCTTCACTTACCATGGCCTTATTTTATCGATTCTTTCAGTTGGAAATTGTTCTTAACAGCTAGCCGTGAGTGGGTCTGTATATCGGTCGACTGGGCCTGGACCAATTACGCACAATGAACCATTTGCCGTATGGCCGTATTCGGAAATGCGAGTACTCGTACTCGTACTCGTACTCGGAAGTACTCGTACTCGTACTCGTTCTCGTACTCGGAAGTACAAGTACTCGTACTCAGAGATCCTTTCTTGTACTCGGAGGTACAAGTACTCGTACTCGTACTCTGCAACCTAAGTACTCGGCAGTACTCGGTACTCGGAAAAAAGTACTCGACTACAACACTGGACCACTGGGAGTCTCCTGAATGCATTGCTGACAGTACCTAAAACTTAAATGCAGACGCGTTTGATCATTTTTATGTAGACCACGCAAAATAAATTTTAATTTATTATTATTATTATTATTACTGTGGTCAGCTATTCATACTCTTCAAACCATAGAGCAACCTTGTTCTATGTTCAAACTAATACCAGGTTGCATATGAAGGGGATATAGATATTGGATTGTTTTACCAGGGTAGAGCCCCTCAACTCTGGTCCCGACCAGGGCTGAGTTTTACCTGTGTTGAGCACTGGACCTGTGAAGATGCTGTCTTGGATTGATGCTAATGTGAAAGGGGTTGCCAGAATGTCATTGTCAGGGTTCAGCATGAACCCATGTCCAACACAGAGATTGTAGTTGGTGTGAATGGGCCTTACATTGTAGATGAATGTTCTTATTGAACATGACCTACATGTAGCCCAAGCAATGAACACAGCATAAATAGTTTTGTGTCATTCAAGCTACTTGTCTAGAGTATCATATTTAACACATGGTGAAACTCATTTGAGGATGAACCTAGCCCTGAGAAGACCCTTCCCTTGCCCCCCCCCCCTTTTGAGTCCCTCCTTTCCCCTCCCCATTATGCTTGAGGGTCATTATACTTGAGAACTACCAGTACTAGTCATGAGGAATTAACAAAGTATGGTAATATTTCCTGTCATGTGAAGTTCCATGAAGTTGGCCCCTGATATGAAAGTCCATTAATCACTTCTTGCTGGCACATTCAAAATAGATCTTAATGTGAAATGTACGTGTGCATATTTTTACCATTGATAATTTGGATGCTTTGTAGATTGATGAAGAAACAGGGTATAAAACACGCCAGATGCTGTGCATGCCCATCAAGAATGCCTTTGGATCTATACTAGGAGTCATCCTATTGGTCAATAAGCAAGACGGTACACCCTTCAATAGGAATGATGAAGACATGTTTGAGGTATGGAGTTATGATCAGAGTAAATGTAGTGCAGTCAATAGTGAAGATATGTTGATTTTGTTCACACTAACCACATGGAATAAGTATGCAAGTGTGGACTACCCCTGTCAAATTTGATGCGTGTTGTCTTAAGAATCACCTGACTAAAGATAGTTGCTTCATGTACATACATTTATATCACATGACTTTGGACAAGCTCATAGATAGTTGCATAAATAGGTTAAGTAAATATGGGTTAGAATGGCATCAAAACGACGGACTATCTTCAGACCAGACCCATTGAAGGCTCTGCTGACTATTGAAGCGAATAAACCCTGCTTAATAAAGCAGAACTTTCTGTGCTCCTTGTTAGTATACTTCATGTGTTAACACTGATGATTAACACTGCTCATCCAGAGTGATACAAACGCAGGTAGACAATAGAAAACGAAAGCTGCAGCCCTCATTTTCTTTTGTCTACAACAGCCATTCTATGTAAGGGTCATCACCAAACTCAAAAATTGAAGTGAAAGGAATAAATGTTGGTCAGTTATATTTGATAAGAGGAATATTGAAACCATCTAAATCTCAAAAGATTTTTAAAAATAAATCATTCGATTTAAAGTTTCAGCCTCCTGAACATGGATGAATTTTGTGGGCAAAACGGAGGGTCAGGGGTATAAATCACAAACTGAGGAAGTAATTGAAGCTCATTCATAAGATTGTGCTTTATCTGCATACATTTGATAGCTATTCCAGTCTATTTGATAAAACATTGAGAATTTTTCCAAATGTCTTCAGTATTTTCCCACTATTTCATCGTTAAAACACCCTCAAAAATATGTCACGCGAGTCACAAAATAGGCCTTTTTTTCAGATTACTTAATAACTAGAGAGGGATTCAGCTAGTGTTTGATATTTGTAAATGAAATAGTGGTGGTCTATCAATAAAAGTATGAATATTCTTATTTGCTCTACATTCCTTGTAGAAAAAACTATCTCAAGAATGTCACGCGAGTCACACATGGTGTATGTCACGCGAGTCACCAGGGGCGGATCCAGGAATTTTTGCAGGGGGGGGGGGTTTCATCAGCCAAGAAATCTGAAAATGTACACACGTTTTTTCTCCGGACACTTGGCCTCCGTAAAATCAAAAACTGGGGGGGCGGGGGGTGGGGGGCTGGTACCAATTTCAATCGGGGGCGCTGTTCAAATTCGACGATTTTTAACACATTACAGAATGGTGTACCGTAGTTTGAACAGGCGGACATTAGACCAGTATAATTTTGGGGGGGGTGTCACAGCAGGGGGGGGGGGGGGGGGTTCAACTTATTTTTTAGGAATTTGTATGAGAATTTTTTTTTTGACAGAGCTGGGGGGGGGGGGGTTGACCCCCAAAACCCCCCTCTGGATCCGCGCCTGGTCACAAGCGAAGCCAGGAATGTTTCATTTACATGTAATACAAAGAAACAATGCCATATTAAATTATAGAATTGGAATTAAGTCTTTAAAAGCATTAGTTATGTAACAAGAAATTGAATCAGTTTTTTACAAATGTATATACAGTCGAGTCTCGTTAATACAAACTCGTTCGGACCTAGCCAAATAGTTTGTTATATCAGAATTTTGTACTAAGAGGAACATCAGTCCCATTCATTGTGCACATAAATGCACAGTCGGGACTAAGGCTTTATGTTTGTTATAACCAGAATTTTGTATTAACAGAGTTTGTACAAACGAGATTCAACTGTACTGTATACATTCCTATACAACTGCATCATTAATTGCAGCTCTTAACTTTTAAGGAAACTGTGACTCTACATGACCAAGAATTACAACTGTTTTCCTGAAATAATCACCCGTGGATTGATGACATCACTTCGTAACTTAAATTCCGAAACATTTTTTTTCTCTCCATGTCATTGTTAAGGATATTGTGTTTAAACCAGATTTCCACCCCCAACATTTGCCAAAGTAAAGGGATAAATAGCAGTTTTCACACTCTTTCATAAGGTATTCACAGGTAAATCATTTTTATTAATATAATATTATGATTTGATTTGTTATACTACAATTACAGTTATAATGTGAAAGTGAAAAGCTACTGTGTCACGCGAGTCACGCATTTGTGTCACGCGAGTCACATTTTCTTCAGGCCATTTCTTACAACAAGGGATATTTGGCACAATACAACTTATGCATATATTGGGTGAGGGTATTAAGTTCTAAGTTCAGTAAGAATAATTTTTAGAACACTGGTAGATCCATAGGAAAAGCTATTTGAATCAAGGGATGTCAAAAATCCCTTTTTCTATCCTGTCACGCAAGTCACGTCAAAGAAACTGTGATACATGAAAAAATAGCAATTTTAAAGTAATCAAATAAAAACTAAACCATAAATTCACAATGCCCTGACTCAAATACATGCTAATTTGAGTTGAATAAATGCCAGGTTAACAACAGTAATGCATTAAAACTTTACAATTTGTTCAAATGTCACGCGAGTCACCATGGAATGGCTGACCTGCGTTTGTATCGACCAGGATCCACCTTACAAGGTTAATCCAAATGCAGAATTCCCTGGTTAGCAGAGCCATGAATTTGGCACAGGCCTGCATAGGATTATTGTTGTTTGACCTTGATTTGTTACTTTTTTCCCCAACGCTGATTAAATATTTGTGTATTGCTAGAATACATGCTAGACAACATGTACTTTAATGTCACTTTTAAATGAACTTTCAACCAATGGGGCTTACCATAGGTTGTGTTAAGAAGATCAGATTGTGGATCAGTTGTATTTTCTTTCTTTCCGATACGACAGGCTTTCTCCATTTTCTGTGGTATGGGTATTAATAACACCCACATGTATGAGAATGTGTGCCGAGCTGTTGCTAAGCAACGGGTAGCATTAGAGGTAAGGGAATCACTTTATTTTTTTCCATTGAGTTGAGTTGTTTGTTATAAAGCCTGATTAGGTTCTGGTTTGTGTCTATAGACCAATCCCAGCATGCATTCACTTCTATCATGAAGGCCCCCTTCAATGGCCACACATTGTGCTAGCTGCTGTTCAGCTGATAGGGCAGTGGCTTTCCACAGTAGCTTGCACAATGCTTCCGTCATGTGTTTTACAGTGATCACGTGCCCTAATTAGGGCTGCCCATTTTTCAAATAATTTAGTATTTGATTATTTGAAACGGCAGTGCCCGAATATTTGAATATTCAAATCTTGCCGATCAAGTTTTACACGCGCCAGCTGCAACTGCGTGCCGCACTGGCCAAAAGTTGCAGGCAAAGCTCGTCGGCTTAAACTTACCTGCGGTGATCGATATTATGGGCCGCTGGTCAACATTTGCGTGTGCCTGTTGTAGTATGAAGATTGTCATGTGTATATTAACATATTTTTAAAGTAGTTGACATGCTAGTGTATGAAAAAAAAGTGGCATCTGACAATAATGTGTACTTGCATATGTTTTTTTTTCTCGAATATTTGAGATGCCAAAAAGCTATTTGAATATTTGGTTGATGATCGAATATTGGAATATTTAGTATATTCAGGACAGCATCATCTACAGAAAGGAAACTTTGAATTTTTCACACTTTTGTATGGCTATTTTCTGTATTTTTATCGCTATCAAAGAATACCTTACATCAATGCACTATTATTACATCAACTATTGTTATGACAAAACAATACGTACACAACATAAGTCTATTATTATAGTCTACACTTATTTACATGTATAATGCTCGTCCAATGAAAAATAGGGACATGACCTTCTCATAAACGAATACTTGAAGTATACCTTGAACAATTTTGAAGCAAGAAATGAAACAGAGATAGACAAACTAACATAAAGGAATGAATAAGTAGATGAAACAACACAGAGGGAGAATATTACAACATCCATGAGCAAATGACTAGTAGACCCCCGATGACCACTGATGGATAACATGTTTGGATTTGCTTGATACATTTGTGCTTCCCATAATATAACCAGTTTATACTGAACGTGTCTGCTAATATAAACACTGCTCAAATTTCATTCTGGTTTGTATATTACTTATCATTCACTGCAGACATTGTCATACCATGCTACAGCACCGCGTGAAGAGGCCATCAGATTAAAGGTAGGATCGCAATGTGCTTCTTCAAGGTTGTTTGCAATGCTCCAGTCCACTTTGAATAAAAGCACATCCCATCTTGAAGGTTCTGGATCAGAGATGACTTTGCTGTATTTGCATGACATTAATCACTTGGTATAACAAACAAGACACAGAGTTGCTCCCTGTCTAGTCACCTAAATATGACCTCTGGCCATAAAAAAAAAAATTTAAAAAAGAAATACCAACTTGTTGACTGTAATCAACTTAACGGAATCTTAAAGGACAAGTTTTGAAGACAGATCATTATTTAGTATAAAAAAATACTTAATTCAAAATGTCACCTGAAGGTTTAGGAATCTTGAAAATGCAAGAAAAATATAACAGCCAGAATATGTCAGTTCCCTAAATCAGACAACTGAAATGCACAGCTGAAGCTAAGGACATAGCTTGCTAAAAATGCCTCAAGACTCGTCTATTCAGCAAACTCATATTTCAGCTGCATCATTGAGAAACACGCCTTTACGACTTTGTTCCATTCACTTTGCAGAAAATGGCCGTTCCCACGATTACAGAGATTGGACTTGATGATTACTTCTTCAGTGACATGAAGCTATCGGAGGATGAGACGCTGACTGCATCACTTAGGATGTTCATAGATTTGGATCTGATCAACCACTTTCGGATTAACTATGAGGTAAATCAATCAGAGTGTTTGAATTGATAGTTGAGTACCGAGTGTATAAAGCATGGGAAGTATCTCTGCCATGAGGTTCACAAATTGCAGGCTGTTAACTCCTTGCTGATAAAGAAGTAATGATGTGAACCATGGATTCTGCTTAGGTTCACGGCTACATAAGGAAGATGCATCTGCAACTGCATTTGTTATGATGTACCAGTTTATGCACCAACACCTCTAACATACCCCTTTTAACACACTGGTGTACTTGGGTTTTTTCTTTTGTACAGCGCTTTGTGGTTTTTTAAATGGAAGGTGCTATATAAATTTTTAATTATTGACGATCCCTCAAACCATGTTATATCTGTGTACTGTTCAGTGATAAGGAAGCCAGGACTCAAGCTGAAGGGCCTATCTACATATTTTGGCTGATGACTTCAGATATTTATCAGTATCGTTACCAGGGCCTATTTTCATGGCACTGCTTAACAGTTAGTAGAAAGTTGTGCTAACTATTGGAGAAAAATGTGCTAATTTTAGTTCTACATGTGTATTTCACAGCGTGGATGTAAATAAGCCGTGATATAGGTCATGGGTCATTCGGGATAATCGAATGCGCATCGAAGGCGCATGAACGCTTAGGGAGATGGGCACACAACGCTTGCATGTTAATTACAAGCAGAACGGGCGTTCGCGTGACATTGCATAACACTGCGTAACATCACGTCAGCGATTTTATCCCGAATGACCTTTGACCTAGACTAATACCGAACTGGCTTATACAGATGCACAACATTGAGATTTCTATTGTTACATCACTAATTTAGGCAATTCTTTTCTTTGGTTCAGCGTGCCTTTTACCGTGCTAACTGCTTAACGTCTCTGTGAAATAGACAAAGGCTCTGTTAGCAAAAAATTGTGTGCTTAGCAGCGTCACGAAATTGGGTTATACTTATAGTGTAGTGAATATCAAGTTTTGGTTAGCGTGGTTAACAAAGCCATAAGCAGCCTGGTTAAGCATCTATCTGTGTTTGTTATTGACAGACCCTGTGTCGATGGCTGCTGAGTGTTAGGAAGAACTACCGTAATGTCAGATACCATAATTGGCGCCATGCTTTCACAGTCACACAAACTATGTATGCATTGATCAAGGTGAGAAACTGTCAACTCTGTGCATCTACATGTATACAAATAATGGTGAGGCCGTTTTTTGTTTAATTACTTGGATAACAGATTGTTCAGGTCCCGACGTGTGGAGGCGGCCTTTACAGCACGCTCATAATGGTGCACCCAATATTTGGACACGGTATTTATTTGGTTATGAAAGTGCTCAAAGGAAATCTAGTTTTAGTGCTCAAAACTTATCAACAATTTTATTGAGCTGAAAAGAGGCAACTTTAGCACTGAAAATAGAGTCTGTAGTGTATGCACCCTGACAATGAGCTAGCAGCTAGCAGCATGAAATGCCATGTTGACTGGCCACACGCCAAGTGCAGCATGCAATGTGCCACCCTATCAAATATTAACGTTAAAACCTCGAACTAATGCGAAAACACGTGCAAATTATATACATTAAGCAGGAGAAGTCATGTTCACATACTTAGCAAAACTTTCATATTTTATATCGTTCCAAACGATGTTTGCTTGGCATTTTTTCTCTAAATATTTCGCCACCAAAGTTTGAAAGTATAAGTGCATCGATGCAGCTGGTTTCCATTTGTTCTGCTTGCACTCTGCCTTGGTGACCCAGTTTAACCAGTGCGATACGCCGCAGAACATACAATCGAGCAGCGAGCATGTTGCAAAGCGCTACGTGTAATCCCGACTCCAGGATGGTGTTTAAAAGTGAATCAAAAGCTTGTGTTTACTACTCGGAAGGTGACATTTGTTTTGGCCATCAAAAGTGGCGATTTAATAAAAATAAATTCAAAAATTAAATTTTTGGGGGGCTGTGATTCTGTAATCCAAAAAAAAAAAAAAGTCCCTTAAAACAAGTCGCATGGACACTTTCACTCCTTTGTAGTTCTTGCATTAGACGGAGCATATGCAGCTCTTTAATTTTATATATCGCTCAGTTTGACATCCTGACATTATGTCATTTAGACATGATGCAGGTAACAATGACATTCTCTCTTGATTTGTCGAAGACCACATCCGACGACCTGAGAAATGATGAATGTTACTAACAAAGCTGATATATCAACAATTCGTGTCTTACGGAGTGTAATTCAGAGCCAATATATACATGTAGCAACTTAAACCAATCTATTTGTTGGCAATTCTCGAGATGAAACTATTATTGAAATTGGTAAGATCTGTGCTTATTTTGATACTAAGTTTGGAAAACTTTACCATGTTCGGTAATGGTTATGAAAGGCAGCTGAAAAGTTATGGGTCTATATACTGGGTTTTGTTTCTTGGGATATAAGTGAAAGTATCCTTGCCAATAATTCAGTTTCATGTGGGTGTATATGATCTGTCCTGAATAGAACGGAGGTATGCGTGACGTACTGTCTGACCTGGAATGTCTAGCGCTGATGGTTGGTTGCTTGTCACATGACCTGGATCATAGAGGAACGACTAACAATTATCAGATCATGTGAGTAGTTGACACGTATCGAGTGGGTCTATGTAAGTCATCACTCAAACTTCATTTCCCTTCCTGTTTGTTTTTACTTGAAGCAGAAATCACAAGATCTTGACTTGGAAGGTACTCTGAAGAAATGCCAACTGGAGACATAATTTTGAAACTAACCATTTTCATTAGAAGTTGTATGGACCTGAAAGGGAAAGGTGCTTGATGCATAAGCATACGTGTTTTTCAATGTTTAATACGTTTATCATTTTATTTAATGGTTTTTGGAGGTCTAATTTTATTTATTCAGTCATGACAAAGACTTTGTCCTAGGATATTAAAATTGTCAATCACTTTGACATATGTCTGTGGTTGTGTAACAGGTCCGAGTCCCCACTGGCCCAGCTCTACTCAACCTCAACTATGGAGCATCATCATTTTGACCAGTGTATCATGATCCTCAGTAGCAAGGTAAACTATAATATCTACTTCATCTCAATTTATCCATGGGTTCAGTGTGGTCAGGATGCTGTGTGGCTGTCTGTCAGCACTGACTTGGTCAAGCCATGAAAACAAACAGAACACAGAATCTAGCACAACTCATTACTTACAGTCAAGCATAAATATCCTTTGATATTACAATCTTTAGTGGGATTTCTTAAAAGAGCAACTCTGATGACATATTCATTGGCGACATGTTAAGAAATGCAGCCATTTGCCTGCAGTCTGTGCCTGTAGGTACCTATATTGTTAAGCGACGCCAAACATGTCATTTTCTTTTAAAAGGTGATGTGTTTCCATGGATACATGCAACAATTCCTTTGAGGTGAGCAGTATCATATTCCATCCGTACATCATCCGTACACAAAAGTGGAAGTACCAAGAGCAAAATTGCAGACCGTTTTTGGAGATTCATCAGAGCAAAGCATCACATTTATTTCAAATATTACCTCATTTTAACATTGAACTGCTTGATTACTTGTAGCAAGTTGTTTCATATAGGTGTCTAAACTACTGTGATTTGTTTCAGGGCAATGAGATCTTCATGAACCTGAGTGCTGAAGACTACAGTCAAGCCATGCGCCTCTTAGAACATGCTATCCTAGCCACTGACTTGGCACTCTACTTCAAGTAAGTCTTCATCTTATCTATTTAACCTGCATTGTTATGCATGTATTATAATTCCAAAGCTGTATGAATTCTTGATGTTTTAGGAAGACTGTGGAGCATATGACTTGCATGCTTAAGGCTCAACATGGCAGCTGCTTTGCGGTTTGTCAATTTTGACCCAGCATATTTCACTCGGCTTGACTCGGTTTGTATCTGTTATTTTAGCCATGTATTCCATAACAAGCCTCGTGGTAAATTCAACTTACAGAAAACACCAAATCATCAAGTAAATACAGTTCTTTCTTTTATAAGGAGTCATTTCCCTCTCTGTCCAGGGTTGGTGACTGTTGCACACACGTTGTCAACTGTCCTGTTCATTTGATTAGATTGAAATTTCACCAAATCATAGACTATTTGTTAACATGGCTAGTACATTAGTACAAAATGTGTTTACAAGGTAAATGTTAATGAGATACGAAACTAATTTTGTTTGGTTTCAATTTGTGCTAATATAAACCATGATGTAAAGAATTGCAATTGAAAGTTTATTTCAATAATTTATCATGAAAAAGGGCTTGCTTGTGTTCTCACTAAATTTGTGATGATTTTAGTGAGAATTTTAGTGATAACTGATGATTGGAATGTCATCAGTTATCAAATGACATGATTTCCTGTGCTGTGGTTTGGCACATTATAAGAGTTCCAAAGGCTATCAATCTCAAGTCAAGCCACAAAAAAATCAAATGTCTGTGACAAAGACATTCCTTTGTCGTCAGTGATCACCTGTTACTTACAATAAGCCATTTCGGTATTCCAAAATAGTCTGATGCACAGCAAGATTCAACAATTTTTTTTCAGGATAACCGCAGCAGATAAATGCACACAAGGCTACAGGGGATGTGGTAACCATGTCTGCATTCTGTGCAACTTTTCGTGCAATCGAAAAGAGATGGAACTTTCGTTCGCCCAAAAGTTTTGACACACAAAACACCTAAAAACACTTCACTGTCCAAACTTTTTTTGCAAAATGTTACACTGCAGAACACGATGATCTCTTCAATTTTGCTGGTACCCCGCTATGCTTTTGCACGCATATGATGAAATTTTTATCCCGAAAGAAAAATTGGCAAATCTTGATGTGCACATGCGCAGTTGGAATACCGAACTCACTTATTGTGACCTGACTTCAATTGATGTGATTACAACTCTGTACCAAAATCCTGCAAAAACAATGTTTCAAAAAGTCTTTTAAGTTGAAAAGACTTCAAATGCTCGTAAGAAGGAACAACTTGTGTGAACGTTGAATCAGGTTGTTCATTGTGGGTTATATGACTATGCAGGGCTTCATTCCTTTATATGAAAGCGATATGTTTGGTGTTCATGTTAATCATTTGGATGAGTTGCTTTTTCTAGGTTCCGAGGCGAATTCTTTCGACTTGTTGAGGAAGGTCAAGATGATTGGAGTAATGATGATGACAAAGACTTACTACGAGGCATGATGATGACTGCATCTGATGTATCAGCTATCACCAAGCCATGGGATGTACAAAAAGAGGTAAATCACGCTAGCAAACTTATCTAATTTAATTAGTCGGGAACCGTTAACATGATATATGTTTCAGAAGCTAATGTAGAACCACCAACCGGACTCGTGTTTAACATGAAGCACATGAGTAGAACAAGCTGCTGACATGTCTGATCAGACATTTCATAGTCATACCAGTAGAGTGTCAGATATCAAGGGCCAATTCGGGCGACTCACAATACAGTGCGCCACCAAGAGTTTGCCATGGAGAGTCCATTTTTCAAGTTTACAGTCGACAAAAAATGGCCCAGTGTCAGTAAACAACTTGAGCTAATTTGTGATAGATTGGGGCATACCGTTCTGCCGCCTTACAAAAACACCGTATTGATGAAAAGCAAAGAAAAAGGGCAAACAAATACTTGAATTATACACTTATGAAACTACTGACCGGAAACGCAGACAATTACAAACGACCCGTGTTGCAAATTTGTCAACCATCTCCCACAATAAACTGGGGAAAATGAACTCTTTGTGGCAAACTCTTGGTGGCGCTCTGCATTGTGAATCGCCCGAATTGCATGGGGTAGCTGAGCTCTGCAGTTTGCAATATATGTGTACGGGTCTTTAGGCGGCAAAGTCGCCTCACTAGCTACGCAGGGGAAGTCGCCTGCTAAGCAGGCGAGTGGATTATTCTTTGCTTGACGAAGCGAATCTTGCGAATGCTTGAAGCTACTATTCTTGTAGTTGACAACCAGTGCATACTCAACTCCATGTGCGACAGTACCGGGCTTCGCTCTGTTGACTGGTTGACAACTGTGAATTTCTAATCTCTTCATTGAGCGGGAACCAACGAAATGCGAGTCAATACCATAAAATGCCCGGAAGTCTGTGCAATAACAAAAACGATATTGTATTGTCATCCGGGTACTTCTCTGAAAGTATGCATTACGCTGATTTATTTTACTATTTGGATTCTGATATAAATAATAATATCCCATATACCAAGCTTTAATACGTATTGCACTATTCTAAGATGTACTCAGTATTCCTACTGCATATACGTGTAATAGGATAACCACTGAAAAAAAGTGATTACTATGTGCACGTTCCATCTTTACTGTGCATCAATTTGACTTTAAGATAACTCATCCCACTCAAGCTTGTGGAGCATGGAAAATGTAATGCGTCTGTGTCCCACATGTGACTCAGCCTTCGGCCTCGTGGCATGTGGGACAGAGACCCACTACATTATTCCATGTCCCACCCACGCTCATTGGATATCTAATATAGTCAGGAGCAATTGGTAAACCTTAGTTAAATTGATATTTGCAGGTTGCACAGCTGATTTTTGGGGAGTTCTTTGAGCAAGGTGATCTAGAGAGGCAACAGTTCAATAAGACGCCAGAGGTATGTGGAGATCATATTATGTTCATGTTTAACCTTATATTTTGTACATACATCTGAAACCAACCTGAAACCAACCTGAAACCTACAATATGTGACAACTTGTACACGATCTTCATCTCTACTGCCTTTGTTGTACAGAGAGTTAATGTAACCTATACTGTACGAAATCAGCATAGTTTTCTGATGGTTAAAAACTCAAGATGTGTAAGAAATCTTCAGCAACATGATACATGGGCAAGGTTACCCCGGTATCTCATAATTCACAAAACCATAAGAATAGTTAGTGCATGGCAGCTCTATTTACGTAATGATGGGAACATTTGAATACGTACCTGATTGCTCAAGCAGGATTATTGTGCTTTTAATGTTACCACACCTTCATCAGAGTTGTCATGAATTCTTAAATCTACTCTTGTGGTCAGATTTACCCCCCTCCCACTCCCCACAACTTCTTTCCTTGAGTAATGTTAGATGGTTATTGGTCTAGAGAATTTTAGTACACAACTTGTCCTTTAAACAGGGATTCAGGTCTATGATGCCCCATCATCTGTCTGAGTTATCTAGTCAGCTGTTTGGATAGGCTTGTTCATTACTGCGTACTATGCCTGTCCCTTCCTGGGCACGTTTGTCTGACCTGACCCCCCGTCTGAGCCACAAAGCTGTTCATTCTGCTGTTTTGTACTGTACAGACAATTTGCATTCAGCTGCCTGCTTTGAGGTGTATTTTCTTGTTATTCTAATCTAGTAACAATTATATCCTTGTGGAACAAAAGCACACACCTCAATGATGACTGATCGGGATATGTAGCCTGCAGTTCCAGCCCCAGCAAGCATCACAGTGCCATCTAGGTTTTACTGAACAATTAAGAGCTGTACCCGATTTCATGAAACTCAGTGTAACATACGATGTATCGCGGCGCTGCAGCTGCGACGCGTCCAGCAATCTATTTCACAAAACGTGTCGTAAGTGTGACGCATCGTAGGTGTATTTATAGCACAACTCGGTGACTGTTATGTGTATTTCTTCAGCTTACAGTAAATATTCGTCTGATATTCAACAAAGAGTTGTCAAATCTCTCAAAAAAAATTTAAAATGTAAAACAAAATGGCGGACATGTCGTGCAAATTTAAAGGAAAACAAGCTCTCAGTGGACTGTAGAGCTTTTAAATTTCAACTGCAGTATTCCACGCTAATCCATAATTATTCAATGAATTTTCTATTTAAAGCTTTACACTCATTGTCTCGGTATTATAATCTCGTTTATGTAATGTTTATGGCATAAAACTGGCTGAGAATAGGACGCTTCTTATTTTGCGAAGACCACTAGACACGTCATCGCTTGCGACGTGTTTTAAGCCATTGTCAAGGAACTTACGACGCGTTCAACACATCGCAAGTTTTGTGAAATGGATGTACTCAGTATTCCTACTACATGTATGGCATAAAACTGGCTGAGAATAGGACGCTTCTTATTTTGCGAAGACCACTAGACACGTCATCGCTTGCGACGTGTTTTAAGCCATTGTCAAGGAACTTACGACGCGTTCAACACATCGCAAGTTTTGTGAAATGGAACATACAACATGTCGCAAGTTGCCACGTGTTACGCATCGTAACTCGGGTTGCGACACGTCGCAGTGCTTCGTGAAATTGGGTGCTGGTGTGTTGGGGCTCATGTCACAAGCCTGATCAGACTGACAGTATTTAGAACCAAAGGAAATGCAATGACTTGGTGATGTTTTCTTACAGGACATGATGAACAGAGAGAAGTTACATCTTCTACCAAAGATGCAAGTGGGCTTTGTGGACTCAATATGCATGCCTGTGTATGAGGTATGTCAATCATATCCAGACAATCAATCTAGGTCATAGTGTGGTTTGTACCTGCCAGTCAAGTAATGGACACTTTGTCATGAATGAGCTTTGCATCTTATTCCTCAAGCCGATCTTAAGTTGTTGGTTAGATGTGCTGTACCTTACCTATATGCCATACAAATGTTCTGCTTTTCTCAACCATGTCCAGTGGTAAAAAAAAAACTAAATTCAGGACATCAAAAAGTGTTTTCAATTATTGTATTAAAAGCAACCATTCATGGATTAATTTGAGGGCTAAAAAGATTAATTTAACAAACAAAATAAAGTTTTGGGTTGTATTTTGTGCTTTTGGTCTTCCAACCCATAAACTTCAACTTTGACTAAGTCTGCCCTTTCGTTATTGTGGTTCAGGAGACAAATCTTTAAGTGAAAATTTGTAGGTGTTCTACTAAGACACACAAATGAAAAAAAAATCATGTGCACTGTTTCCCCATAGCCAGGGCTATGCAAAATGTTACATCAGTTGATACAATCATGCTGTGAACATCATAACGTGCTCATGAAGTACCACTTTATCAAGAACTAAATCGGTTATGGCTGTTTCATGGCTATTACCTGGGGCTTGCATTGGCTCGTCAGAGATTTTCACATGTTTCTAATGACCTGATTCCAAGAGGATTACTGTCATCAAACCTAAAAGCAACTCACTAAACACAAAATGTATGCATGCAATTTTGCCTGGCTTTTTGAACACAGGGATAAACAATCTCTGGCTACAGAGAAATCATTGGAGTTTCTGGAATTCTCAACAAACAACTTGTGTGCAGGCCGTTCAAGGATGACAGACTTTTCAAAAATATGTAAAAATGTTAAGTTGCAGTGAATTAAACTTTTTATCAAAAATTAAACTTAAAATTGGGGTTGTCTTATGATGTCTTGCGCAATGAGTTTACACTTGTATTTTTTTAACATGTGTAATGGAAATAATCAAGAGTGTAATGATATGTTGTTGACATTGTAGGCTCTATCTAAGACGTCAGAGAAGTTAACACCACTACTGATGGGCTGCAAGGAGAATCGTGATCACTGGAAGGGTATTGCTCAGGAATATAAGCAACCAGTCACTGAGAAAAAAGAGCAGAGTTCATCAGATGAGAAAGATATCGATGAATCGGAAGCCATGCCATCCTCAACAACTGACCAGCCAAGCAATAAAGATTGATGTCATACAGCAGTCTGCTCACACCAATGCTGTTCTCAATTCATCCTTTTCAAGATTTTTACCTACTCAATTTAGAATTCTTGTGACATAGTTCTAGTAAACCAAGGACCTTTTTCCTCGTACTTTTAGAAACACCATTTTAGTATTTTAAGTCAATTTAAAGGCTTGTATCACTCAACTTGAAGCATAATCCAGACACACATACAGGATATTATACAGTTGCAAAATGGCATAGTGTGGTTTGGTGGAGTTGGTATGCCCTATTGTGGAATGTATTCAATGTGAAACTGTTTTCCCGTTTCACAAATTTAGTGATAAATTTATTGTCAAATGTATGTATATAATTTAATGTTGGATAGTTTTTATGATTAATTTATGGGACTGTGCAAGTTATGATGTGGATAGCTGAGTGGGTTTCTTTGTCCATCCCACCCAGTGGATTCTACAGTATTGGAGGTTTATCGGCTGGACTCTCAGGGCTGCAAGTTGTCCTGCCAACTTCTCTGTCTCTCAGACTCTCTCCACCTTTCAAATGTATTTGTACAGGTACAAAATGTAAATAAATGTTCCCTCAAACGTGTGCTACAATATAACAGTAATATATTGGCTCCAGTTCAAGTATTCTATCACCCCCATGGTTTTACAATTTCATTGTTTGGACACTGTTTTTCTTCAAAGCTGTGGTTGCAGAAATTAAAGTTAAAATATATTCAGGATTCATGAATGGAGATGAATTTAAAACTTCTAATTGTTTTTGTTTTTTTGAGATATTTCTTTCTTTCTTTATTTCTTTTTTTTGGGGGGGGTCGTAACATTTGTATCACACTTTCGTTGTTCATGTTTTGTAGTTTGTGTAACTCAAGTGAAAAGTGAACATAATGTTGACATTGTCAGGATCCCCATGGATACAAGTTCATTGGTTATCCACTTCACAATTATACACATTTTGGTTGCCAACATTGGATCTTTTCCACGATTAATAGTAATTCTTTGGATATAATATTCCATGGGCACACAGTGTATTGACAAGTATGGATTGGGTATAAGTAATGGTGAACCAGAGTTAATCTTAGTATAATTACAAATATACAGTTATGGTCTACAGGCAACTACATGTGTATATGGACAAATGTGAATCTGTGCACGTCACAAATCCTATTGGTCTGTTACGCCATCAACAGGCTTCACATCGGTACAAAAAGGAAGTGACTGTGAAGTTGCAGCAATTAAATTTCCATTTTCCATTACATAAGTATGTTTTCTATGAACATCAGCATCAGCAAACAGCAACCAATGTACTGTGAGGTTTGATAAATAGTTTGGCAGACAGTGAGCCAGTTGTTGAGTGTGAATTAATTACACAGCAAGTCTATGGCATGTGGGTTGGTCCATAATAGACTCATCTATTAGGCACTGCCCACTGCACACATGTGGCCAACGACACATTGCCTCTCAAATGTCATGTACACTACATGTTCCAGACACATGCGTCACACACACAATATGTATCCATGCATTTTGGATTTTTGTGCATGTATGTCGGACATTAAACGTAGAGTACATCATTTCTCATTTGTGCATTTTTTTCATTTGAAGCAACAAAAGTGCTCAAAATCTGAAGAAGGGTGCTTAACAACTAACCTGATAAGTTTTAGCTCAGTGAAACGTATTTTCCGATGATATGATCCTATTCTAGGATCTGGATTTTATTTTAAAAGTTGCCAAGTCATGTTTTGAATTGCACCCAGATCAGCATCTGGGACACGTTCTCATTCAGCCAACTGCAGCTACGCGATGCCACCCACTGAAAAGAGGAATTGTAGCAAGTGCGTGTGCGTTGTGTCAATGCTTCGCGCACCAGTTACCAAGTACAAAACGAATTACTAATGAAATTTGAAAAGAAACGTCTTGAGATGCATTTTTGGAAATGATCTTCTTTCATTGTTTTCTTCAAAATGACAGCATGCCAGAAAGAATAATTTCACAGGGAGTTTAGTGCCATTACTATCTTTAAACCAAGTATGCTTTTCAACAATAATGTTGTCAGTTACTTTTTGGATAGCTGCAAATGATGGACTGTACCTTTAAACATAGCTGTGATCGGTCATTACACCATAGGTCAAGGCTAAGATCAGTCTATTGCCCATGCTGACATGCCATATGAAGAACAATATTCCACATGACATTGTTTGCTAGGTAATCTCACCGTACTCAGAAGCTGTCCGGTGAATGAATCATAGGTCCTATTTGAATAACAGTTACTTTATCCCAGATATTGCCTTTTACATGGGTGTAAGCGTAAACCTCTGCCATTTGAATCTTGATGTCAGTATTCACACTGATACACTTGGGTTGATGATTCCATCCATTTCATCCGTCAAATGTATCAGTGAAATTAAGGCCTACAGCCCAATTGCTGATGGCAGTTACATGAAGTAAGGCATGCCTTGCTTTTGCTGTGCATATGAATCATGGCAACACACTATCTTGTAACAAAAAGAAGTTAGAGTGGTCTACCCACCGTGTCTATGACATTAACTTGTGCTTAAGTCAGTGTGGTCTTGTTGTTTAGTTCCTGTATAATTTTGTCTGTTGTACTTTTTACTGTTTCATAAACACCTACTTGTTTTTATTTGTGGTGTTTTTTTTGTGCATAGGATAATTGTGTTGACACAGACAGATTTTTGTATGCTAAATGTGAATTTTATAATGAGTGCTGACCTAGGCTTTAGATATGAAAGTCACAAGTTGTGATAGTGCATGCTGAGAGGTGGGTCTTGGCATGCTATTCAGATGCAGTGGATTCTCTGATGAATTTCAGCCCCATTGCTGATGTGGCTATAACCTGTGGTAGTACACTGATAGACCAGAAGCATTCTGCTACCCACAGATCATTATCTTGGTGTTATTAACTGAAGTGCAATACAAACACAGCTATGTGTTGGACTGACTCACTATTGGGCATTCAGCTGGGATAGCCCACAAATTAAGGTCTCTCCACTTACTTACAGTGGGGTCCCTTGGGGGAAGATGAGAAAGGAAATTTCAGGTTTAAATGTAGGAGGAAAACCCCAGAAAACAATTTCTGGAGAAAATCTGTGGAGTCAGGTAGGGACTGACAGACGTAATCACATGTTGACCACATGCAGGATTGGAACCCGGGTCGCAGCAAGGATAGTACAGCTATGCCAACCTGACTCCCCTGATCAAACTCATCAACTAACTTTTTGTTCCAAATAACTCATATCGTCATCAAGTGAATGTATATCGCAATCTAGGGAATGAACCAATTAGACATAATTTCAATTATTCTAGGGTTTGAGGAATTAGGTTGTTTGTTTATTTGTGATTGATCATACTTGGCTTATTCACAGACATAAATAACAACATGAAAAACATTGAACCAGGTGAGATACTTGAGCTTATTTCTACATTTTGGAAAATAAATAAGGCATCATCTTATAGAAGTATAGAGGTATAAGTAAGAAAGAGAACTCAGGTACCGATCTAAGGTATTAAACTAACAGAAAAATAGAAGTTTAAAGGACATGAGCAAATTTGCAATTTTAGACTTGAGTTTGTAGCTAAAATGTCAGTGTTAAATGACTTTATCTGACATGCTTTTTTTTATACATTTGTGTCATTGATGCTGAAGCTTAGGAAACATGAAGAATTCAGTAATGAAAGGAAGTGAGAAACTCAAGTCAGTCTGTCCAGTGGTTATTGCACTAGAAGATTCAAGATAGTCAGCAAGTTGGTAGTGTCATTATGATGGAATGAACTTACATATTGTCAACAATTAGCACTTCAATCTGCCTTTTGAGCAGAATATTTTAAAAATCTATTGTCAAAAGGGATTATCAGAAACAACCACAGCATATTGTGCCACATGCTGTGTGTTTTCTGCCTCAGCTGAATTCACACGTCATTTGTCAAAGTAGCAGTGTGTTCTAACATGAAATCAGGTACATTCTTTTTCAACAAATATCAGTGAAGATAAGACTAGATCCTAGACAGATCACAAATGTACTCCTAGCATGAATGTACGGTGTAAAGCTCATTTGTCATTGTCCAAGTATGTCGTTGATTGTAAGCATATAAAGGAAGACAGCCACACTGCATATTCATTTGGGATGAGATACCCAAATGGACAAAGTGATGATTTTAGACAAATGTGTGTTCAGGTTATATCCTGTTGTCAAATTACATGGTATCTATGAATAATGATTGTAAATGCTCTCAGCAATAAACTTAAGTTTTGATGTTTGATGATTTCACAGATTGTACCCTAACTATGCACTTAACTAGACATGTTTTACTCAATTCACTCAAGTCAGTGGAGAGTGTGTTCATTTCAAGATGGTGTTGTCACCACTAAGCTGCAGCTAAGTGTATTAATTGCTGCAGGCAAACTTCTTTTGATAACATTTCTTCAAATCTTTTAGAGTTGCTCGATGTGTGATAGGGTAAAAGTGATGTTAACATTGTTTGTCATCTTTGTCGTATTTAGATCTTGCTTTGATAGGTCTTCCTGTTAGCAGGAGAACAAGCAGTCATAGTTAAGCTCAGTCTGGGCTCTTCAATATCATTTGCTATGGGACTAACTATATGTCACAATGACCAGCGACTCGCCCTATTTAGACAGGTTAATATCTAATGTCAGATTGTTTCTAATTATTTGTCCTTGTCTGCATCATACATTTCATAGTCACACTACTTGGATCTTATTTGTTTGTTGAAATAACGCTTACATGTGTTATAGACAGATGTACGCATTATTGATTGGGCTAGTGTGAGGAACTTCCCAGCTGCAAGTTTTTCATCATGTTTACCTGCCCTGTTATTGACAGTATTCACATTCTTAGGTTTTGTACAGTCCTTTGGATAGAAACACATTCTTTTTGTGATAATACAACGGGCCTAGCAATCCAGTGTGACAATGATTATTTGATGTCAGTTGATGATTATCTGGGAGAGTGCTACTGAGTTGTAGTGTGGGACATGAGTTGACCGTGTACCAGTTATTAATTGGGCAAAATTGCTTGTCTTGCACGGGCATTAACTCTTATCAAGACTATAGGGTTTTAGAGACATTTATTTTTACCTGTAGACCAGATTTTGGATTAGGAGATGTGAGGGATAAAATATTGCGGTTGATATTTTCCAAATAGTGTAGACTAGTTTCATGATGCATGTGTGACAGGTGTTTGACAAAAGTTTCATCAGTCTTCAGCCAGATTGTCCCACAATTTGTTTCACGGTGGGCTCGGGGGGTCATTATTGTTTCATTCACAATTTACACAGTTACAAATATCTAGCAACAAATACTGCAGTTGTGACGTGATGGCTGGCTTGGGTTCTTGGGTCCATCATTGAAGCTTCAGAGAAAGATTTTGCTAGGATCCAACTAGCCTTGGTCAAAGCGTTTGTCAGTAGTGTCCATGAGGGTGTCTGGCCACTAACTATGCACTGTATGTACGAAGCGCAAACAGTGACCTCACACGGCTACAAAATGCAAATCAGTTGGTGAAGGATCGTGTTGGCCTTTGTCTTGATTTTGTTGCGGATTTACATCCAGTTATATTTAGTCTGCAGACTCCAAACATGTTGGAGAATGTAGCCACACTATTCAGCTCTCGTCCATGTCAAAACATGAGCATCCACGAGTAAGTACTGAATAGTAATCTCATCTGTATTTGCATATGAGGTCATCACTCAAAAACAAGTGACAAAATTAAGAA